AGCATATTAAATGAAACAAGCATATTAAATGAAACAAACAAAAAAACAACAAAAGGCAAGAATTTAGAATTCTGTTTTAGAATTCTGTTTTCTTTGGATTGCGCACCCTGTCATACAGGGGTGGGATTCCACCGGTATAACAACTGGTTCAGTGATTGCATGCTCTGAGCACCTGCCCCGCATTACAAACAGCTCTATTACTCAACTTCTATAGCAGTCCCTGTGAAGGAAACAGCTGAGGCACGGCAAACCACTCTGCCACGTGAATCAGCTGTGCTCTTAACAAAGGAAGTGAAGGACAGGAAAGAGCAGGGGTGGGTGGGCCCACATCAGAGGTGGTATCCAGCAGATTCTGACCAGTTCTCGAAAACCGGTAGTGGAAATTTTGAGTTGAATTAGTTCGCAGAACCGGCAAATGCCACCTCTGACTGGCCCCGCCCCCATCTATTCTCTTCCTCCCGAGTCCCAGCTGATTGGCTGGGTTTTCTTTTGTTGCCTTGCAGAGGAGAATGGAGCTGGAAAGCAGGTTAGTGGGGTGGGGAGGGAATGGGATTTTACAGTATCCTTCCCCTGCCATGCCCACCAAGCCACACCACGCCCACCAAGCAACGCCCACAGAACCAGTAGTAAAAAAATTGAATCCCATCACTGGCCCACATGCTCGTCACAGCGAACCAGTTTGGAGACAGCTGACCTTCGGAGCAAGGGGTTTTCCCAAACTGGTCCAAATCAATAGAGTCCCACCCATGCTGCTATGTATTTCTGTGTTTTCTGTCACTTGCCCTAGGTCTCCACAATGTACCTTTGCCTTTTTTTGTTTCCTGAGGTTTTGGCAACCTTAAGGCCTTAATCCTGCTCATTTTTGTTTAGAAAGCATTTTTATAGAAGGAAAAGTGTTCATAGAAGAGGCATCCCCATCAGCTCATCATATTCTTCACTATCTCTTGTTGATATGTCATGATTATAAATTTACAAAGAAACTCAGTGGATCCTGACAGAAAAAAATGATCCTGTAATGCATGGTTATCAAACTCGCCTCATCATGTTGCGGTCACGTGATGTTTTGTGACGTTTTTCCCATTCGCAGAGCTGGGGTGGGAATGGCCTAGACGTGACTCATCTGGCCCATTGGCTGCCAGTCTGACACCCCTGCTGTAATGGAAGGTAATTCCTAAAATCATATAATTTAGTGATTGTGCCTATATCATTTCACCTCAAATGTTCATCTAAATGAATTCAGTTTATGGAATACAAATTAAAGAACCCTTTTCAAACAGTGACCACAACATGATTGACTTTTGTCTCAACATACATCCACACAAAAATCATCACAATGACGGAAACCCCAATTATAACTTCAAAAAAGGCAACTATGATCTTATAAACAATGATCTCTCATCCCTTGATTGGCAATTTCTATTCTCTGGATGCAATACTGTAGAAGCCCCTTACAACATATTTTTACTTGAAGTCAAAAGATTCATCAAACTATATGTACCATTAACAACTCCCAAAACCAGAAAAAACAAATTACCCAAAACAATAAGGAAGCTTCAACCCAAAAAGAAATCACTTTGGTGGAAAAACAAATCTGGTCATGTTGCCAACTTCAAAAGCTGATACAAAAATTTATGCCACCAGATAAAGACTGAATGCACCAATTATCACATTAAACAAGAAGAAAACCTTCTGCGCACCAATTCCACACGTGCTTTCTACAATTTTGTAAACAACAAACTAAAAGACTCAAGGTCCATCCCACCCCTGAAAGGACCTAATGGTAAAGACTGCAACGACGACACCATTAAAGCCAACCTCTTTAACACATTCTTTGGCTCAGTATTTGTAAACAGCAGTGGATCATGCCCAGTATTTCCTAGTCGAACCACAAATGACTACAATGATCCAATACATATCAATTTCACAGAAGACAACATTGAAAAAGCACTACGCAATCTAAAACCATCTCTATCTATTGGACCGGATGGAATATGTGCCAACTAGCCACTGCCATAGCCGAACCTTTAAGCATAATCTTTGAAAAATCTTTCAGGACCAGCTCCTTGCCTAACCTATGGTCACAAGCCACGGTCATCCCCATCTTCAAAAAGGGAGGCCCCAGCCTAGTTGAAAATTACAGACCAATCTCTTTATGCTGCATCACCTGTAAAGTCATGGAATCAATTATTAACCAATCCATCATCCTCCACTTAGAAACAAACAACCTACTCTCTAATAAACAATTTGGTTTCAGGAAAAAACTATCATGTAATCTGCAACTCTTACACTGCAAAAACATATGGACTACACAACTCGATCAGGGCAAAGCAATAGACATAGACTTCTGTAAAGCCTTTGATTCAGTGCTACACAACAAACTACTCCTAAAATTAAAATCTTATGATATCTCTGGACACCTGCATAACTGAATAGAAGCATTTCTGTCAAACAGACAACAAATGGTCCAAATTGGGAGCGTCCTATCAAATTCTGTACCTGTCAACAGTGGTGTCCCCCAGGGCAGTGTTCTAGGACCAACTCTCTTCATACTCTACATAAATGGCCTCTGTGATCATTTTAAGAGGAACTGCGTTCTCTTCGCTGATGATGTAAAGCTATTCAACACCACAGACAATACTGCTACCCTTCAAAAAGAATGGTCAAACAAATGTCAACTTCAAAACTCAACAAATAAATGCTCTGTCTTACGTATTGGCAAAAAAAATCAGAAAATAAAATACAAGCTGAATAGTCAAGACCTTGTTGATGAGCCAAACTCTGTCAAGGATCTTGGAGTACTCATCTCTAATGACCTAAGTGCTAGAGCCCACTGTAACTACATAGCCAAAAAGGCATTAAGAGTTGTTAACCTAATCTTACGTAGCTTTTTCTCTGGTAATATTACACTAATAACTGGAGTATACAAAACATTTGCTAGACCAATTCTCAAATACAGCTCATCAGTCTGGAACCCACATCACGTATCTGATATTAACTATTATATTTTCCCTTGTTCCACTTTTAAAATCTTTATGCTTGTTCATGTTACTGTAGCCAGGAATGAATGAGGAATGCTTGAATGCCCTTCAGATGCTGAGGTCAGCTCAAAAAAAATACTCCAGCATGCATTTAAAAACTTATGATTTACAGTGCATATGGCAGTGGGAAATAGAAAGGTTATTTTTAAAAGGAACATTTCCAAAGATTATCAATGCATGAAAATTCTGGACAAAAGAGATACACATTTTATATGGATTTTCTTTAGTCAAATCCTTAATGTGATTTGGAAGTGGGACCAAATGACAAATGTTATGAAACAGATTGATTTGTCTGCTGAAGGATAATTTCTCCCAAATTTTAGAAATTATAACAAGAATACTAGAATATTGTTATTTAGTAATGCACTCATTATTAACACAGTAGTAGATTTTTATTATGTTTCTTTTAATCAATTTTTCCTGCACTATTCTAGCAATACTTCTATCAACTATATAGGTATTCCTTGTGTTACTATGGCAGTTGGGACTCAAATTTCCATCACTG